GAGTGTTGTATGATCCAGGCACTGCGGCCTGGTTCATACGACGGCCACTTTCGAATTATAAAAGCCGGAAAACGGGTCCGGCGTCCCTCAAATCATCGAAAAGGTTATCCCAATGTAAACAGCCAACCGTACAATCCATTACAGGGCCACACAACAAATTCAACGAAATGACAACATCCTAATTGTGTACAATGCGGATGACCTAAAAAAGAAACAGCGAAATCAAACCCTACAAAAATAAAGCCTATCACCCTTGGATATCACCCAACCCTGCAGATCCACTCTGCCACCCGCGCGGCAGGGATCTGTGACCACAGACCCTGCAAACCCACCCACCTCCTCACGATTCGAAGCAGATCGCTCCACCCCCGAGGTTACCTACCCTGAAACACCAACTCCTTCCATGATGGTGTATCAGCAAACCCTCCGAAATACCCTACCACCCTTGCGGCAGGGGCCAAAGGCCCCGCAAAACCCACCCGCCTCCTCACGATTTAGGGTAATCCGCACCCCCGTCTGCGTACACTCCCAAAGGGATCTTCCCCTCCCTCCATGATGAAAATCCTGCAGAGTGACGCTCTCCAATCCCACAAAAGGATCATAGAAAAAAAACCCCAAGTACTTGTAAGGAGATGAACGCAATCCCTTAACATTGACGAACCTGCAGAAGCGCTCTACCACCCGTGCGGCAAAGGTCGAAAGACCCTGCAAACCCACCCACCTCCTCGCGATTTAGAACAAACTACTCCCCCAGTCAGCAACAACCCTCTAAAAAGCCCCGCCGCCCACCATGACAGGGTCTTTGCAGAGCGACACTCCCACATTCATCTCACCACATCACAACCATAGCTATCAAGTAGAGCTACAAACAATTCGGTGGAATCGTACGGAAAAGGAACTGCAAAACCAAAAATCCACTAAGCAGACTAAGAAACCTAGCACAAGAACTCTCAAAACGGCAACAAAAATCGAAAACACTAATTAGACTCTTAACCTGACTTAATAGCAACAGTTAACAATCGCGCCTAAAAAAAAGGGCGAACTAAATGCAGTTAACAACGAAACAAAGTAAACAACGAAACAAAATTAACAAACCGCCAAAACACCGAAAACGCAAGACTCCGGTAATGGAAACAAAAACAAAAACAACCGGAAAAAGTGTTCCTCTATTATGACCAGGGACAAAAAAAAAAAAAACTTGCCAGCTGTTACCCACAGTGAACTGAGCACAACCCTATCATGCCAAAGTCGCCCACGCTTTCGCAACAGTGAGGGGGACTAAGACCAGAGTCGCAGCAGTCCATGTAAGCATCTTCCAACAAGCAGTGGCTTCAGCTCCTGCTCGCACTCTCCACGAGAATCACCTTTCGAAGGCAGCATCTGATACCAGCGATCCACATAGCTACATATCTGAGATCAGGGGGCTGGAGCCCCTGATCAAGCTTCATTTATAGTATGTTGGTGGCTAGCAAACCCTGCCACGCAGTCAGCCACACATGCGACTCTCTCCCTTTGCGACCTAAGTTAACAAGGATTGCCGGCTCCCACCGACCAAGGCCAGCCATAGCCAGGGGCATGGTAATACCCCTGCTGGACAGCAACCCATCCTGCGCCCACATGCGCGCTTCACCCTCTTGCGTCCGTGCCATTCCGCTGGCGAGTTCTGGCATGCATGCAGTGCCTGTGTTGCGCTGCATGCGTTAGCGATCCCCCGCCGCTTGTGTTTTTTGATTTTTTTTTGGTTGTCTTTTGTGTGAACTGAAAAATCAAAGAACGAAAAAAAATGGCCCCGTTTCGGCAGGGCTTGTGCTGGGTTTCGGTGCCCCCACGGCACTGGTGGGGGACCACCACCCGCAGGCAGCAACACATTTGTTGTTGCTGTTTCAGATAAAGGTCGCCATCTATCTGAAACAGCAACACAAACTGTGTTGCTCTTGCCGTCAACACACACACACACACAGACACACACACACACACACACACACACACACACACAGAGAGAGAG